AGATTTACTTGGAGGCCGTCGTCACTTGTGGTGTGGTCTGCACCCGACGCTCTTCTCGTTTTTTGAAAGGGAAGATACACGTTAGTAATGCTGCTAACTTTCTACTGTATCGCTTTTCCTGCGATCTTATAGGTCCAGTAAGGAGACGTTGTATTTCTCTTTGTTCAAGGAGCTTTGCTTTCTCGATGGCACCTTTCCGCACTTCTTGTACGGTCACATCAGCCATAGTTTTTTCGTTTATAATTGGAATGAGTGTTTGGTAACGTTAAACAGATAGTTATGAGCATACAGAGTAAGTTGGGCTTAGCCTTTTCCGTTTGGGCTATCCGAGCCTTCGAAACATGAACATGAAGAATTGCTGTGAGGGCTTTCTTCTTGAGCTTTCCTCATACGTAGTCTTGGACCTCGAGATGAGGTAAGATATATCTACCAATTATAAAAACGCCGCCAGCTAGAAATACCTCCTCAGGATTGACTCACTCCCTAGTGATAATGATAACACGCGTGCTGTGTGTTAACGAATGACTATTCATTGTGGGAGTAGCATCCCATGAGACGTATACATAACACCAATCCACAGCTCTCGCTCCCTTTCTTAGCGCTAGCTTTCACAAATCCTACTCTGCATTGAGTTCACCGAATCAAGGAATCGTCCACGGGAAAATTATATTCTATCCTACCAATAAATCGCTGGTTTGAGACCCATCATGATAAGAACAAAACGAACAAAAAATTATGTTTGTCTTTGGTGAAAAATTCGAAAATTTGTTACGCTTTCAAATTTACATCGTACTTCTGTCACAAATGCCGCCGAAGGAAACGATTCTACTTGTTTTCGGAGTGCCTTCACTAGGAACTCTTTTGGCCTTTTCTACCCATGGCAATAACATTTTTCTTCTTCTACAGCATCCTATTCTTCCCATCGTTTTCACTCTGTTCCCAAAATTCGAGCGCGATTCCTTACCCTGATTTCTTCAATGCGTTGCTGATACGTGGCAGCAGCGAGGCGCAATTCCTACCTTACCTTTCCTTGTCTCCGCCCAACCTACCGACCGTCCCCTGGATGTTTTTGGTACGTTTTTTCTCTCCGAGACGTGAACCTTTCTTCGTGAAACTTTGTACATTGTCTCTAGTTATCGCAAATGGCGTATTTTAAAGAGGACAATGCTTTCTCCGTAAGCCATTCTTCCTAGTTCCGATTTTTTTCTCTGAAACCTCTATGTGATATTTGTCTTTGCTGCCGTACTGTTTGCAACGTAGTAGCGACCGGAGGCCATAGTCAGTGGCATCACCAAGGAAGCGTTAGCGCTCAAGATCTGGACCTGGAAGCAATTGAGCTTTTGAATTGCTCACCACTCCAGGAAATACTCCAGTACAAATCAGAGGTTGGTTCGTTGAAGTTCTCTGAGTTCTATCTAAATTCCATCCTTTTCGTCGTAGATGAAGTGAAGCACTGAAAATGGGATTTGTTCATGCCAGGCATCTGTTCTGCTTGAGTACAAGGGACACAGTAGTAGTTCAATTACTGCTTTTTATTGACCCGTGAGACAAGATCTCTGTTAAAGGCAAGATTCGGGATAAAATAGGTGTGGAAAAGCGTTCAGTTATGAAGCTATAGGTGGGAGGTGGTCTAAAAGAGAAGGAAAGCAAACGAAACCACCGATTACGCCCCGTACAGAGACCTCCCCTATTTCAGCCACATTCCACCTTGGGATAGAGAAGAGGCGAATTGGACGAGTTTCACGAACCTAACTCTACTTGCTCCAGTGCCAATAACATTGGATCGCGCTGGGACCGCTGCCTCAAATGCGCCCGCGCTTTTCAAGCAGCGCCACGTGGCAACCGACAGCGAAGGGTGGGGCTTGCGGACGAAGGTGTGAGTTGCGGGTTGGACGAGCTCCTTGCGCCTTTGTCGCGCACTTTCAAGCCGCAAAAGGGGCCCGACATCAACACTTGTCCACCTGCCTACTACCCCCTGGATGGAACAGGCGAGCCCGCCTGATCGCGGAGCGTGCCTTTAAATTGGAATTTGTGAGGTGAGATTAGTCGTAATGTCAGAATCGAAGGTCTCCCCACTATGTGTTGAAGGAATCCACCGTAAATGCATATGGCGGATAAACTTAATGCTGGAAAAACAGGCGTTCAAAGCGGCCTAACAAGGCCTTACGCGTGTGACCCTTGTGAAAAGCCCTGCCTTTAAGAACTCAATAATAAAAGGGGTGCTGGATGCTGATCTGTTATCAATACCGTTCGCTTTTATTATAGAAGGGCATTTCAAAAAGCAGCTGTATGTGGAGTTTATCTATATAGCACTTTATCAGTCCTAATGTTGAACATTTAAAGGGATTAGCGGGTGTGTAGCAACAGAATCGTCCGGAGCCCGCGCTTGTGGTCGCGGCCGCGACGTCGCGACTGTAGTGGACGAGTTGAGCGTCATTCGATTTCTCACAGGGCTACCCCGACTCCTCCCTTTAACATTTTAGGCTCATAACATGGCCGGCGGAAGCCATCTGAAGCCGGTAGGGGAATGTGCTTAATCAGTTAATGCGGCTGAGTCGCTGTCTTGGTTTTTGAATGATTCCATAACGAAACTTGTATTACAGGAGTATGCTGACCAACTCGGAATTTATTCACACCACGGGCGCCGTCTCCTCCGCCCTCGCGTACCTGAAATTTCAATTAAACTATTGATCTTGATCCCTTAAGACCGCACGAGCCGTCAGCAATGAAGCGGGCCTAAAAATAAGAAGAAAATAAAACGTTAAAGTTGACGGGCCAGCGCCAAAAGGCTTAATGTGGACGGCAGCAAATCTGTCGCTCCAATCGACAAAGTCTACTGTTGCCGCGCCCATCGAAAAAGTGCCGCGTCACGGCGCCGCGCAAGTGGCCGCGCGCGACGGCGCCAGTCCCGGACGATTCTGTTGCACGCTCCCCGGGATTAGCTCGTCCAAGCGACCTCTGTTTTGGCCAGGAACTCGTTAAACTGCACCGTCACAACCTAACCCCTTTCCAAGAGAAAAAATGTACCATTACATTCACTGAATGTTATATGAAAAAAAAACAGCGTGTATACCTCATCTTCACCAATCCCAGTACTGTATATGGGGAACTGAAGGACTTCAACGCATTCATGGAGACAGTATTGGGAAGCACCTTCGCAGTGCTTAGTAGTCAAAGGTAGACAGTAGCGGTCAAAAGTGTTCGCCGAAACGATTTTTAGTGCATGCATATTTTTTCTCGCTTGAGCAACGCCTCCAAAGATTGATATACTATGTTTTCTAGTGTTTTTATATCCTCAAGTCTTAAAGAATCAGGATATTCAAAAGAAAATTTCGAGGTCACCATTGATTTTTTTCTGGCAAAAAAAGAGAAGCACGAAAAACCGTTTCGGCGAACACTTTTGACCGCTATTGTATGTCACTGCTGAATACTCGTCTCCGGTATTTGTAGCTATTTGTGACATAATCGGTTTGTTTATGTTTATGGGTTTCAATGTCAACAGGTCCGTCAAGGAGAAAAGCAGTTGAGCAGCTTGTGTGCTTGGATTATAAACGAATCTCCTAAGATTATCGGGGCTTTTTGAGCTTCATCGACAATTTTTGAATTCAGATTTTTTTGTGAAATATTCAATGCATTCTCATTGGCAATCATAACGCTAGATCTGAAGTAGGCCGGCCCGTATGATGAGCTCTCTTATTTCGATACAAGAAGAGGTGATTATGCTCCACATCAATAGTTTTCCTTAGCTTCGTCATGATGTCTCAAACATGGACCGCATGTCAAATAAGTCGTGGAAAAATCGTAGTCATATTTTATCATCATAGAAATTTCATAATTTGTCTACCTTCGTAATGAGGCCCCTTTTGCAAAACAACTGTTGATTGTTATCGCGCTCAATAATTAAATAAACAGCTAACCAACTTGTAAACATGGAGATAAATCACGAAACGAAAGAAATTGCACCGGTAAAATTGAGTATCAACTTGATTCACGTATTTCATACGTATTGATTTTCGAGTTAAATGATAGCCGTTTTCTGGGATGATCATGGAATTTCCGCCATTTGGAGGGCAGACGGCATGTTTGAATATGACAAAAAATCTTGACTGATTTTGAAATATGTTCAAGTAAAATAAGCTTTGAATTTGATCACTCAATCAGGATGCCGATGTTCCTTTTCAAAATAACCTTAACCAGGTAAGGTCCACTCTGAGCACATATAAAGCATTTGACTGCGCGCGCTACACATTGGCGCGGCAAACGGTAGTCATTTTCTAAGGAAGGTATTTTTTTATTTCATTTTTCAGCTTAAGTTGCAGCTGGCAAATATGTTCAAGCCTGTGCAAGATTTCGAAGTTCGTACAATTACTTGAACAGGTCGCACCAGTTTAGACATGGGTATGCTAGCCGCCCCCTCCCCCCTCAATTCTGCCGCAGCATTGTTGCGAGCGCGTAGAGGTGAAGCTCTTATGAATTTCTTTCTCATCCATCAAATTAGAACGCAGACCCGCTTTCATGAGCCATGAGCTGATCTCTTAAACCCTTGGGGTACGGTACTCTATGTCCTTATTAATTATGTGATGAATTGGCTGGTCTATGAAATCTCGCAGGGTTGTGAGTGATATGACGAGGTGATCAATGCTCGATTTCCATCCCTTGAAAATCTGAAAAAGGGGAATCCGCAGATACCATAGTCGAGCACCAACTCAGGCTCCGAACCCCAGGATGCTATTGTAGTCTTCGCCGGCTATTTGTACCAATAAACTTGAACCTTTCAGATAGGTTTGCCATTCATTTTCTTCATTTTCCAATTCCTCTTAAATGTGTTACACAGTGTCATTCGCGTGCTACCAGTTAATCTGAAATCCGTAGTTTTCATACATGGCCCATTTGGGCTCCACGGCTCGCTATTCCTAAAAGAATGATGTAACAACAACGCAACTTACGTAGAAATACTATGTAATATTACCACAATATTGCTGAGTTATGGGCAAAACTACCGCCCCAGCCGGGTTTCGTACCCGGATCTCTTGCTTTCTGGGCAATTGTGCTACCAGGTGCGCGACCGGGGCACGGCTATGTAATGCAATTGCTGACAATGACCAGGTATTTCCATATAGCGAAACAGTCGGGTAGCCGCTGCTCATACTTTCTGTATACCTTCTATCGTAGATCTTGGAGATCTCTTAATAATGTGCTGTCCCGGAGCCTCATCAGCACTTAAATATTGTATACACAGAGAGGCACCAAAATTTTATTTCAAAAGAATTCCAAAAGTTCAGAAAGTTCGAAAATTCCAAAAACTCGAAAATTTCAAAGAGCAAGAAGCTAAGAAGCTCCCGTGGTAAGCGTGCCACTTGCCACTACACCATTTCCGCCCCTTAACGGCCCAGAGTTCGAGAAATGGGACCGCTTCACTGCCCGCTGATTTCCGCCTTGATGCGAATCTCATCTTAATGCCCTCCTCAACACTAAAGCTCTTTCTGCTATCTAATACTCGCCGCGTATAGGAACCTGCGGGCAAGTGATTATGATAGTCGGTGGGACCACCACCAGGGGCATCGGCCAAGGTGGAGCATGGCTACAGAGTGCGCCAAATGTACGGAGACAGCGATTTCGAGTCGCCTAGAATGAACACGCCACAATTCCAGGAAGCCAAAAATGCAGTAACGTTCACTGTTCAATAATGAATCGTAAACATCTGCCAAATCTCAGAAATTCCTTCGTTGGCACTTATACGGGCCTTGAGAAGCAGTGAGGAACCATCGGCGGTGGCACGCAAGGTAGTGCGTAGAATCCGTTCTACGTATTCTGAAGCAATTCTTCAAAATAATCCCCAAAAATGTAAAGTTCCGTGCAAGTTTCAGCTTGCAGAATCAATTCTACAGTGTAAGCCATTTATATAGAATCTGAAATGCTGACCAACTCGTTAAAAGTGATGAATTCGACAATATAAGAATGTATAAAAGTGATCCGTGAAACTGAAGAGCTGCGGGGAAACTAAAGGCCACCATTTCAAAATTGCTACATTTTTTCATTTCTTTTACCGTTATGGTCAAAAGATAAAAGCATGAAGCTCCTGACGTTGATCAATCCCTTTCTGAGATGCGCTGCGCATTCCAGTTTCGCTCAGTATCGTAGTGACATGTTGAAACGACATGGACTACACAAGGCTTGCAGGGCCGACCGATGTACGACTCAGTGTTTTTATCCTCTCACAATCAGACGAGTCTAGTACCATTTATTCTACTCGGCAGTTGGTTGGCTCCAGCGGCGCACTATCCAGGAGTTGATCCCTGAGGCGTTCGCATGATACTCAGGGGGACTTGCCTCAAAACGTAATTTCAGGCCGTTATAAATAATATTCGTAGCTAAAATCTGTTTCCACAAACTTCTTTCGTAATGCCATCGAAATACTGATGTACCAGTAATTTTGCCTCATCCCATAGACCCCTAGGGCGGAAGTGGTGTAGTGGCAAGTGGCACGCTTACCACGCGAGCGGTCCGGGGATCAAATCCTGGGTCGCCAACCAAGCCTTCCATCCCTCCGGGGTCGGTTAATTGGTACCAGACTTGTCTGGGAGGATAAAAACACTGACTTGTACATCGGCTGGCCCCCGCAAGTCATTGTATAGGCCACATCGCATTCAAACGCCACTACGAATGTACAAATGGAAGTAGAATGCGTGCCGCATCCCAAAAAGGGATTGATCAACGGCAAATGCTTTATCCTTTATTTATCCCGTAGACCCCTAGTTGCTAAAAGGCAAATCTGAACCAGTTAGAGGCGTAAGAAAAAAGGTTTTGATGACTTCTACGGGATTCCTCCTCTAAAAGTTTCCACCACATCACTTTTCCCTATATTTTGCGCAAAAATCGTTTCTTTCTTTCAAATTCTTGTTTCTGCGCGAAAGAATCTTATGTTCTTCCATTTTGTTTTCCCATCCACAATATGTATTTGAGATTTCGTTGCTGAACGTGTTCCCTTGTGATGCTGATCTTGAAAACAATATTAGCGCTACCCGCATCCCTGATCTTATCCAGAATTAGCTTCTTCTATCCGGGATCTTTGTCAAATCTTCTTTCGCTCAGATTAACAACCGAATTCTAGATTTGTATCCTTCTTTTCTTTCTTGCTGTCGCAGGTTACTCAGAGCAGTGTTCTCTATTTTTGGCCTACTTCTACTTTATTCCCACATCTGCAGACAGTGGAATGAACTTCCATTCTCACTACAATCGACAACAGCTTACAATCAAAAGTTAGTCATGCAGACAATTTCACAAAGATTTGTATTCTCAGGTTTTTTTGTACTCCTTCATGAACGTTCACGTTAAAAGAGTAGCCCTCTTGCAGGGCCCGGATATCAATACTTCTCAAGGACGTATGCATTTGAGCGTACAGTACTTACATATACAGATCCAGCAGAAATCATTGTTGATTAAGGTGTTCCTCAAAACCACCGCCAAATATCGACCAAACCCTTCTCATTCCTGCTGGGCTCTTCATATGGTGGGGCTGACCATGAGGAAGGCCGTCCCTGGCGACCATACAATCAGAGTCCCAATTCGAACTAGCTTCTTTGGCCGAGGCCGTTCCCTCCTCGGTAGCCCTCGCATACTGACCACAGAACTCGGGCGGGGGTTCTGCGCGTGACGTCCTAGCTTTATCACTGATTCTTTGCAACTTTAGACATGTTTGTGTGACTGGGGTGTTCATCTGTCAACCTGGGCCTGACGCTGGTACTAGAACCATTTTTGCAATTTTTGCACATGGTTTAAGCCTCGGCAGGGATCGAACTCGCGGTTTTTCAGAGGTGCAGACATGAGTCTACACTCTTAAACACTCGGCCATGCTTGCCTACATTGAATGGGAATCGTACGCAGCCTGATTATTGTTTTCGATGCCAGGATCTTTGACAGTGTCCTTGCTAGTGCGACAAAGGGAAAGCTGCAAAGATTGACATCAAACAACAAGTAGTAGACGATAGCTTGCAAATGGCCTCGATCAGGTGAAGTTGTTGTTGAATTGCAAGTTGCACATGTAGAGGCGCTGGAGTGAAATAGTGATAATCAACCGCCATACCTTGGCATAGGATTGTTCCAGTTGGGGTAGAGAAACATCTAAGGGATGAAAATTTTATTCCTTTTTGAACCTACATAACACCGACGCTATTGCAAGGTTTACTAAATCCCCTCGGACTAATCCTAGGAGCGGCACGAGCGTTAGGGGAAGGAAAATTGCTCGCGCACTCTGGAGTCTATCCCTCTCGTCTAACGCTTATTCCCCTTCTCGAAAGGAATCTTCCTCGGAAAAATCGTGATTCTATCTCACCCATAATTCACTGGCTTGGGACCCATCGTTCACGATAAGAACGAAAAGAACAAAAAAATTGCATTTGTTTTGGTAAAAAATTCGAAAAACGAAAGGGCTGCTACGCGTTCAAAGTACCGCCGGACATCTGTCACAAATGCTGGCGACGGGAATGCTTCCACTTGGTTCTTGGAGTGCCTCACTAGAAACTCTTTCTGGCCTTTTGACTTATTGCATTCACATCTCACACTTCTACTGCATCCTATTCTATCGATCGATTTGTCTCTACTCTCCAAAATCGCACGCTTTAACCCGATTCTTTCATTGCGTCGCCTGATACGTAGCCGCCCCAAGGCGGACTTCTTTCCATGCCCCGCCTTTGGCTCCGCGCCACTTACCTTCGATTGTCCATAGAGTGTGGTTTTTGTAGTTTGTTTCTCTTCGGAAACTGAATCTTTGTGCGTGAAACTTTGTATGTTGTCTCTAGTGATCACAACTGACATATGCGTGTTGGGAATGCAAGATTTTTTCGGGAAGGATTCCTTCAAGAAAAGAGGTCTGATTTTTGATTTCAAATGCGTTGTCAACACAGTGCCCCGTATGGAGTGATAGCGCCAGCAACATGTATGCCACCAGCGAAGCAGTTGGTTCAACAAATCACAGAGATCTGTGCCTACCTAGAAGTGGACGCTTGTGCTTGACTTTGATCTTGGTTTTAACGTCAAAAAATTGTCAACGGAAAGAGCAGGATTACAGCCCTTTCTCCCAGATAAGTAAGAGAGGAAAAAAATACGTTTAGTTTAATAAACAATTCGAAAAGCTCGTTTTACTGACGTCAGCTAAGAAGATTGTTACGCGCTCAAATTCCCGCCGTACATCTGTCACAAATGTTGATAGCGGGAACGCATCTACTTGTTTCTGGTTTTGGTCTCATTATGAACTCTTTTTGACTTTTTCACCTACGGCGGTAACGTGTCACTCTTCTACCGTATTCTATTCTATCCACAATTCGTCTCTGATATCCAATTCCGAACGTTTCAATTCGATTTTTTTCGATGCGTGGCCCAACCTACGTGGCCTTCCCGCTTTAGTCGGCTAGGCCCATACCATCTGCATCAGAAACTATGGATTTGCAAGGCTTGCTCTCTCTCGGAGATTTGATTTTTATGAAACTTTCTAGGCTTTTACAGTAATCGCAAATAACGCCTTTATGTATGGGAAAGAACAGATCGAGCCTTCGTAAGCGAGTCCTCGAGTACTTGGGAGGCCACCACATTGTTGAAGGTTCCATCTAATTCGAACGATACTGTGCACGAGAAATTATCAGCCTTTACTCATCCTCACATAGGAGTAAGTGCCATGCTTACTGTCAGAAGTTAGCAGCAGCACTATCTTGCTGCTTTCGTGCATACTACCGTTCGCTTCGTACATATTTGCGCCGTCTTTCTCTGCCAATCCCCTTTATCTTTGTAGCGTGAATCTTTGAGGTTTAAGTCCAGAACGCTCGCCAAAGACTGACGCTGAAGTGACTCATAGGTCTAACACTAGGCTTTGTAGTGGCACAGCAGCCTATTGGTGGTCCGAATACCTGGCGCTCCAACTACAAGCATGTAATATTCAAAACAATATGGTTAGCCAAGAGGATGGGGACCCAGTCATCACTAAGAAGCTATGCAAGCAACGAATGAAAAAGAATTTTAAACTTCTGTTTCTTCACACGGTAAAAAGGTGAAGGAAACCATAAACAAGATTCCCCTTTGT